AAGAAAGACTTAAGTCAATGTAGAAATTAATCTACATTTAGAGACAGATTTGGTGATAAAGATGTAAAATTTCCACAAATACATTTATAGATTTCATAAAATACCAGTAAGCATCCTAAATTGTTTTTGGAAATGTGATAAGCATGGCTTGATGAGCTTATTCTAAAATTTCCATGAAGTACCAATGGCTAAAAATAGCAAATGTATCCCTGATGACAAACAAGAAGGGTGACTTGTGCTATACCACATCAACATGTATTATAATCCTAAAGTTCATAAGCTCAAAACCTATTTCCCCATTTCCTCCATTGAAAGAGCCCCTTAAAGGGAAACCTCTTTCTGCAGAGCCCACTGAGCCAGCTGCAAATCTGATAGAAAACCTATGAAAGTGTTGACAAAAATCTCAGCAAAGGAAGGGGTGAGTCCCTGTCCACAGCCTGTGGATCCTAAGACGTTCATGGAAGAGCCGACCTGGGCTACTAATGGAGTTGGCCCTGACCTGGTTTCTCCTAGTTCCAAGACAATCCCATGCTAATTGGGTCTGGGTTCAAGGGCTTTCTCTTTTTCCCCACATATGTGGGTAAGCAGGGCATCTTCAGAAAGAAGTTTTTGCCGCCAGTGCTCTTAGACAGAAAAAGAGCTGTGTCATTAAAGAAGAGTATGTGCCCAAGGGCACAGGTGAAAATGGACCTGTACAGCAGAACAGAGATCAGAAACATGTCCATGCAAATATAAATTAATATATGACCCATGTGTGTTTTTAGATCCAGGGTTGAAAGTACAAATTCTCCAATAAATGGTGCTGGGGCAAGTGGTTATCCATATAGAAAAAATAACTGGATGCCTACTTTACACTTCACATACAAGTCAGTTTCAGATGACTAATGACTTGACTATGGAAGGTAAAGCTACAAAATATTTAGAAAACTGTGTGGGAAAATTCCTTTTGAACTTGGAGTAGGAAGGGATTTCAAAATATTTTTAAAAATGCATGAAAATGAAGAATGTTTGTTTATCGAAATATAAAGAAAGTGAAAAGACAAGCCGCAAACTGGGAGAAGCTATTTGGACACATACAGTGAAGGATTAATATAGATTTTTTGAAGAATTTCTGTAAATCAATAAGAAAAGCATAATCCAGTAGAAAAGTGTGGTAAATATTTAAACAGTCACATCACAAAAAAGGACTGAGGAAATAAGTCTTCATCTTCTTACTGATCCGGGAAATTAGGATGGAAATCAAAGTGCCTTGTGGACTGAGTTAAAAATGTGCACAGTGTTGATGAGGCTGTAGAGCATGGGGATCATGTGGCTGGTGGCTGTGAAATGCTGGTGATGCTCCTGGTAAAGCTGAAACTACTCATACTTTCGGGCCAACCATTTCCATGCTAGATACATAATCATAAGAAATGGTTGTACGTGTGCACAAGGAGACGTGCATTCTGTTGTATTCCTACAACAGAATACTACTCAGCAGAGAAAAATGAGTTGCAGCTTCTGACGTAGATGTTGGTAAATCCTAATATAATGGTTGGTGGAAAAAGCAACCTGTAGAACAATACATACACCATATCTACATTTATATAAGTTTTCCAAAGCCTCGGCAGTCAAAAAGGATTCAAGTGTGACAAAGCCATGAAGAAAAACAAGGGAGCAAGGGACACAAAACTCAGGATAGTGACTATTTCTGGGTAGGAAGTTGGACAAGGATTAGGGTAATAACAGTGACATATCCTCAAGGGCTTCACAATTTTTCATTGCTTTATTTTTAAGCTAAATAATGAGTACTAAGATGTTTATGATAGCATTCCTTGTATGTTGATATATGTAATACTCCTTTTTATCATTTCAATATTTAATAAAAAAAGCAAAGAATATTTGATATTCAGTTTGCAATATTCCTAGCTCAATAATTTCTCTGTTTGATTTCTAAATTAGGTACTACTGCCATTTCATTTTGCCATCTGTAATTTAAGGATTAAAGTAAGCTCACTTAACAAAGACATTTGTTTAGAGGAAAAATATTCCTTCATATTTTTGGGCTTGTGGACTAGAAGGTGGAGATAGAAACTAGTGTTTTGAATATTAGCAGATGGCTTAAGAATAAAGCAATAAAAAAAGAGTAAAGTTGGCTTCTGTGTCTTCTGAGCAACACAACCATTGGCTTCAGTTGCTGTGCTTGTCCTTAGGCTGGTTTCCTGGTGTCCTGGGGAATGTAACATCGTGACAAGTTTGGTGCTGAATCAGAAGGGGCAGCATGGAGTGGAGCAGAGCAGAGGATTTTGGCTGCCTGGACCTGGGATTGCTATAGGAACACAGCTGGAAAAACGGGGCACATACAGAAGCCAGCTTTAGACGGAGAAGAAACTGAAGATGGAGCAATTGCCAGCAATGTGGGACAGCGCTGCCAGACTATCTAGTTAATTTATTTCCAAATAATTAACTTGAAGACCTTAGTTATCTTGATTCATTACTAGCCGTCATCATCTTCATTATCACCATGATTTCTGCCACAAGCGCATCTTAAACAGAACAACAGTTTCTGCAAAGAGTCAATCTTAAAATCTGAGTCTTCCAAGTATTTGTGAAGTAGGCAGTGAAGATGAAGATGCAATCAAGAAAGACGCAGAAGACGAATGAACCACCATTCAACCAGGGATCCTGGCTTCGCCTCAGGGTCTATCTATTGCTTACATTAGTTGGCCAAATGTTTTTCATTTGCTTCTGTAACTTTATAGGCCAAAGCTATGCAGACGGATTTAATACACTTTGGCACTCCCATGCCATAAATAAAGCTTGCTGAAAATGATTTCTTTACAGTCAATATTTTAATTATTTTAAATCCTGCAGTTACCAAAATCATCTTTGAAAAGAAAAAAATTAAAGCTGTAATTTAAGTGTGATAGACTCTTATCGATGCAGGATAATAACTTAGTTATTTGTTCTCTTAAATATCATGAATATTGATGCTACATCAGTCAAATGTTTATCTTCTGTGATATCCACTCTTCAGCTCTACTTTAACACAACTTCCCTTCATAAGTTTGGCTGTTCCAAATATATCATTTTTGACAAGAGCCTGCTTAGGGTGTGAATTGAAGGAGGGGAACACTGGCTTGGGTTCAGATCCTGGTTCTGTCACTAGCTAATTGTTGGAATCTTGAAAGCTACTTAAAACCTCTGTGCCTCCATTTTCTCATCTATAAAAGGGGCATAGTAACTTCTATCTTTTAAGCTAAGATGACATTTTATATGAAACATACAGTATTTGGTAATTGCTTTTTAAATGTTAAGTCCTATGTAAAGAATATCAAAATGTATTTAGTTAAATTATTTGGTGAGAGTAAATAGAAGGTGAAAAAAATATATCACGCTTCACCCACTCTGATGTAGGGCTGGCTCTACAATCACAATATTCCTTTGGGGCAGCAAAACCCTGGGGATGGTTCTGACCCTTGCAGGGCCAGGTCTCTGCCCTTGTGTGCCTTCACTAATAACGACCTTTAAAATAAACAAAATGTGAAAATTACATACAAAATGTAGAAGTTTTAAATAACACCTGAAACTTTAAAACATTACAATGAAGATTGTGCTGAAAGATGATTCAATTGGAAAACAAATGGAAAATAATTTGATTGACCATTGAGAAAAAAGTGAATGTGAAAACTTACAGATGAACACAGAAACATATTTTCACTTGATCTGTTTGATATCATGAGGAACACTGGGGCATTGTTCAGACAAAGTCCAAGTTACCTCTGGACTGCAATTTTACTTTAAGTATTTAAAAATGATAAAATTATTTTTCTATAATTAAGCTAACATAACATACTGTAAAGCATTCGGAAAAGAGACAACTGAAAACTATGCTTTTTCTTCCAGACTTTTGCCATGTATGTTTTGTGTGTGTGTGACTGAAATCATAGCTTGTATGGAAAATTTAACTTGCTTTTTACAGCTAATATTATGTCAAAACATTTTAAAGTGAAAGTGATATATTGTACCCATTTATTTAACAAATTTTCTAATGTGAATATTGAAGTTGCTTCCACATTTTTACTATAATAGATAATTATTGTGAAGAACAGCTTTGCTTTTGGAATTTTTTAAAGTAATTTTATCTATAAGGCAATTCAGGTTTTAAGAAGAAAAATAAGCTTTCAAAATAATATTCAAGTAAACCTCCCTCAGGTCCTTCTTGTGCCTAGTACCATTTCTCAATCTTGATTTCTATCAGATTCTGTCTGCTAAAAGCAGTTATGTTTAAAACTTAACTTCATTTAAGCTAAGTAATAATACAAGGTCAACTAGAAAGAAAGAGATGTGGAAGAAGGAAACAAACAGAGAAAAAATGATTTTAAGATGGCTATACACTTTTATGAACACATTTACTCACTAAATACAAATGAGATAGTTAGATTGAGCTGCATAATTGTCATTTGGTCTTTCATGAATGTAATCTTTGACCTTTTTTTTTTCTTTTTATTCCCCATTTTTCCTTTCTTCCAGGCTATTCTGGCAAGGACTTTGAGGGCTGCATGAATTTGTCCACCTCAACATGTCTGCTTTTTTTCCCTGACACATGCTCAGTGCCCAGAAATGCATTTTTTGTCACTTCAGTCAGTGTTTATTGAGCATCTACAATATGCCAGGCAAAGTGCAAGGTTCTGGAAATTCACCAGAGTAAAGCAAATTCTGTTTAGGTAAAGAGGATGAGGAAGCTGGGAATGGATATCTGAAGGCAGAGTTGGAGTTAGATAAGGGGAGAGTGGGTGCATGTGTTCTTTTTGACAGAGAACAACCTTTGCCAATTGTGTGGTGCCAGTGATCATGTAAGGTACAAGGAGGACAAAGGCCAAGTGTCTGATACTCCAGTCCTTCGGCATAGAGCCCCTCCCACATTTCAAAACATGAAGCTCCATTGCCTCCTGCTTTCTGTTGCTATCCTCTCTGCATAGTCAGTATAATCTGAAAAGCACCCAGAGTCCCAGGGCACTTACCTTTTCTCATCGTGTCTGTAAGATGAAGAGGTCCGGCCACTGGTCCATATGAACATCTTAGAGGATGTTGGTCCAGGGACTTCTTTCCTTATGGTGGAAGCCCTGGAGGAATGGTAGAAAGACCTAGAAGAATAACACACTGAAGTTAAATCTGCTCCTTTAAGTTTTGGAGCTCTGTATTAACAGCAACCAGTCGCTTTCAGAATATTGACTATCTTAAGTAACACCAGGTTTTTGATGCCAGGCAAGAACTGGCTCCATCCTGGCTGCACAATAAAGACAACTGGGAATCTTTTAAAAACCACTGAAGCCTGGCCCCTCCGTCAGACATTTGCATTCCTTTATTTTAAAGCTCCCTCATGTACTGCTAGGCTTGAGAGCCACCACTTTGGGGAATCATGGTTTTCTAATTGGTGTTAAAGTCCTATTTCCCCCAAATTGTCTCCTTCAAAATCGAATATCAGTCTGGTTTCAATCTCTATAGTGTGCTAAATTTCCCCAAATCTTGGATCAGATTCAGAAACTAGAATTCTACTTCCCCTTTCCTCTTTAAACTGTTTTCCTTGATGTTGACAGATGTGACATTCTGCTGCCAATGATGTGTGTGGGTTCAGCTAATGGCAGTTGAGTCTCTGCCTGAGAAAATCACAGCAGTAGCAGCAATATATACTCAGTGACTGCTAGAGGCCAGATTTCTGGGACCTAGAGGCAAGAGATTAGAGGAGTGTCGAGTTCTTTGGCTATGATTTGACTTTGGAGCAGTTCTTTCATCTCCAAGCACAGCACTGAAAACAGTGCTGTTTTAATTATTTTCTATTTAATAATAATTTTCTAGGGAGACAGAAAATGAAATATCATAAAATAATAATCAAGCATAACAGTTAAAATATTTAACACATAGAACAAAGAAAGGAAAAAATGTGACACCTTCATGGAAGCACAATCAGTAATGGCTTTCCTCTTGGTTAAAACATGATACTAATGATAATCAAAAGACTTGAAATAATGTTAGCTACTATATTAAGTGGTATATGCCAGATACTTTGCATGTATTATTTATTCATATAGCATGAAATGCATTTGCATGTATCTGTGTTATGCTTATATCATGAGAATCCTGCAGGGTAGGTAGTGCTAATATTTCCAAATTAAAAATGATTCTTTCAGGAGATTCAGATATTTGCTTATATTTAGAAAGGGTAGATGCTTCAAACCCACATCTGCTTGCCTCCCATTCTTATTTTCTCTAGAGAGACATATGGAGCTCAGTGTTTCTCAAAGTATAACATTTATGAAAATTACCTGGGGATCAGTTATAAAGTTGATTCTGGTTCAGTGGATCTGGGATTTGATCAGAGATTCTCAATTTCTAGCAAGCTCTTAGATGAACCAATATGGCCAATCTGCAGAAACACTGAGATTCCAGGGCTTGGAGCATGTACTCAGAATAAGTAGCAGGTTATGGTCACAATTAGCTATGTGACCTTCAGAAGGTCACTTAACCTCTTAAGGGCTAAGCTATTTTTAAGCTATACCATGGAGAGTTTGAAACAGATAACTTTTAAGATCTCTCTTGGTTCCAATATTTTGTGATTTAGTTAATTTATGAGTAAAGTAAGCAAATAGTGAGTTCCCCAGCAGAAATATAAGGAGCAGAAGCTGTGGGGGAGGGGAGTTGGGAGTTGCTGAGGTTTAGCAATAAGTAATATTAAAAGGTGAAGGATTTATGTGATCTGAAGAGAAACCAGAGTATAGTAACCAGTATAGATTGCTGAAGACAGACATCTTCCCTTGGTCTTCTGGGATAATGGAGGAATGAAAAGATCCACCTAAATGGATGTCCTACATGGTAATAGGAAGATTTAGAAATTGAATCTGCTTGGTCTTTAAATGACCAAGATCTGGGATACTTAAAGTTATTTATGTTCTTTTTTGAATATCTTTAAAATATCAAGTAAAATAGGTTTTAAATCTGTTATTAAAGCCAGTTAGCCTTTAAGAAATAAGAATGGTTTTAATCTAGATTGAATGAATTACTTCATAAGAATGAGGATTGGGATAAACTTTCAGACCCTTATTTCAATATAGACTGTGGTTGAATCCTCTGATTGAGTTACTCCTTCAAAGGATTGGAAGTGTGGAATGGACAAAGGAAAGTGGCGCAATTTGAGTGTAGGTAAAGCAATAAATTACCAAGTACTTGTTGTGCTAATGGTTACTGGCCAGCACTTAATAGACAGACCATAGAAATTATAAATGCTTTGAAATTTTTCGAAGAAAAAGGGGTTGCAGTGATTTCAATATATTTAGGAAACTTTTCAGACCATGTGCCATTATTCTAGCACTGCACCTTGTCTCTGTTGTTTTAAGATGATACAGAAAAGGGGAGATGAAAGACACATTTAATGTTTCTGTTGAGAAGTCTGCTGTGATTTTGATGGGTTTACCTTTGTATGTTATTTGTTTTTTCTCTCTTACAGCCTTCAATATTCTTTCTCGAGTCTCTGTATGTGATGTTTTAATGATAATATGCTGTGGGCTAGTTCTATTTTGGTCCGGTCTGTTTGGTGTTCTGGAGGTCTCGTGCACCTGTATGGGCATAGATTTCTCTAGATTTGGGAAGTTTTCTGTAATTATTTTGTTGAATATATTACACATTCCCTTTGCTTGCAGGCAAGAAGAAGGAATAAAAGGAATATAAATAGGTAAAGAAACTGTAAAAATATCCCTATTTGCAGTGATATGATCCTATACCTTAAAGACCCAAAAAACTCTACTCAGAAGCTCCTAGACACCATCAATAGCTACAGCAAGATAGCAGGATATAAAATCAACATAGAAAAATCATTAGCATTTCTATACACTAACAATGAGCAAACGGAAAAAGAATGTATGAAAACAATTCCATTTACAACAGCCTCCAAAAAAATCAAATACCTAGGTATAAACTTAACAAAGGATGTGAATGACTTCTACAAGGAAAACATAAACTTCTGAAGAAAGAGATTGAGGAAGACTATAGAAAGGGGAGAGATCTTCCATGCTCATGGATTGGTAGAATCAACATAGTAAAAATGTCTATACTCCCCAAAGTAATCTACATGTTTAATGCAATTCTCATCAAAATCCCAATGACATTCATTAAAAAGATTGAAAAATCTACTGTTAAATTTATATGGAAACACAAGAGGCCACGAATAGCCAAGGCAATACTCAGTCAAAAGAACAATGCAGGAGGTACCACAATACCTGACTTCAAACTATATTACAAAGCAATAACAATAAAAACATCATGGTACTGGCACAAAAACAGACATGAAGACAGTGGAACAGAATAGAGGACCCGGATATGAAGCCACACGACTATAACCAACTTATCTTTGACAAAGGCAGTAAAAATATACGGTGGAGAAAAGACAGCCTCTTCAACAAAAACTGCTGGGAAAACTGGTTAGCAGTCTGCAAAAAACTGAAACTAGATCCATGTTTATCATCCTATACCAATATTAACTCAAAATGGATCAAGGATCTTAATATCAGACCCCAAACTCTAAAGTTGGTACAAGAAAGAGTAGGAAATACCTTAGAATTAATAGGTATAGGCAAGAACTTTCTCAATGAACCCCAGCAGCTCAGCAACTAAGAGATAGCATAGATAAATGGGACTTCATAAAACTAAAAAGCGTCTTCTCAATAAAGAAATGGTCTCTAAACTGAAGAGACCACCCACAGAGTGGGAGAAAATATTTGCCAGCTACACATCAGACAAAGGACTGATAACCAGAATATATAGGGAACTCAAAAAACTAAATTCTCCCCAAATTAATGAACCAATAATGAAATGAGCAAGTGAACTAAACAGAACTTTCTCAAAAGAAGAAATTCAAATGGCCAAAAAACACATGAAAAAATGCTCACCATCCCTAGCAATAAAGGAAATGCAAATTAAAGCCACACTAAGATTCCACCTCACCCCTGTTAGAATAGCCATCATTGCAAACCCCACTAACAACAGGTGTTGGCGAGGATGTGGGGAAAAAGAACCCTCTTACACTGCTGGTGGGAATGTAAACTAGTACAACCACTCTGGAAAAAAATTTGGAGGCTACTTAAAAATCTAAACATGATCTACCATAATGATCCAGCAATACCACTCTTGGGGATATACCCAAAAGAATGTGACACAGGTTACTCCAGAGGCACCTGCACACCCATGTTTATTGCAGCACTATTCACAATAGCCAAGTTATGGAAACAGCCAAGATGCCCCACACTGACAAATGGATTAAGAAAATGTGGTATCTATACACAATGGAATTTTATGCAGCCATGAAGAAGAACGAAATGTTATCATTTGCTGGTAAATGGATGGAATTGGAGAACATCATTCTGAGTGAGGTTAGCCTGGCCCAAAAGACAAAAATCGTATGTTCTCCCTCATATGTGGGCATTAGATCAAGGGCAACACAACAAGGGATTGGATTTGAACATGATAAAGTGAGAACACAAAGGGAGGTGAGGATAGGTAAGACACCTAAAAAACTAGCATAGCTTTTGCCCTTAACGCAGAGAAACTAAAGCAGATACCTTTAAAGCAACTGAGGCCAATAGGAGAAGGGGACCAGGAACTAGAGAAAAAGGTTAGATTCAGAAGAATTAACTAGAAGGTAACACACATGCACAGGAAATGCAATGTGAGTCAACTCCCCTGTAATAGCTATCCTTATCTCAACTAGCAAAAACCCTTGTTCCTTCCTATTATTGCTTATACTCTCTTTTCAACAAAACTAGAGATAAGGGCAAAATAGTCTCTGCCTGGTAGCGAGGGGTTGGAGGGGTAAGGGAGGGAATGGGGGGAGGGGGGAGGGAGGGGGCAGGAGGAAGAAATGACCCAAACATTGTATGCACATAGGAATATAATAAAAAAAGAAACAAAAAGACACATTTATTCCAATTGTCCCTAAAGCTTAGTTTTGGGAAGGGCTTAATGACTTCTGTGGTTATTCCAATACAAGGATTTGGTGTTTCTCCACCCCAGCTTTCCTTCATAAAGACAAACTGTTATTTAAAAATTGTTAAGTCATTGTTAATTAAAATGAAAAGGAGTAAATCTGCCTGA